GCATTTGATAACAGATTTGCAGTTAATAAACTTAAAAGTTTTTCGAACAAGTAAAAAAATAAGTTACTAAAAAAATAAGATATAAATGGACTAAAAATATACAGATAAACTGTCTAATTTAATATTTGCAAAAATGAAGAAAATCAAAAGGCCTGATATGAAGAACCAAGGACTGAAATAACAATGAGGTCGTCAATCACAAATCAAACACAATAGATAAAGCCTACGACATGTGTCCCGCAAAAGCGAATTTCTATTCTGCTTCGCAAATATAATTCTAATGGCACTCAAACTTTAATATGAACTTCAGCTTGAAAGAGTTAAAGTACGCTGATCCGTAAAACCATAACCAACTTTGTAAAATCAGTGAAAAATTAGAAATGCCATAATGCACTTTCTACGACTGATAAAGTTCCCATCAAGGAGAATGAAGGAAAGTGCTACTGCGCTGAAAACGGAAGGTCTTCGACCATGTGGGTCAAGTGCTAAAGTATAGGTGGATAACACAGACCAAAATTCTGAAAGTTGTACGCAAATAATAGAATATGAAATCGAGGAACATATTTATAAATTTCTCAAAGCGAATCAGCACCAACCTTCAGAGCCATCGGGTAGATGTCATCGTACCCTGAGGTGGTGGAAGCTTTTACAAGCTTAAACCGCTGCAGGACTTTCATGGTCGATTGAGATTGCATCCAGGAGTTACGTACAATCTTTGTTTGGTCAACTTCGCCATTGCCAGTCCCAAGCCGATAAAGGAAGGGTGCCAGCTCTTCTGTAAAACGTAGCCACCTGTCCATCATAGTACCGCCGTTATCAAGCAGTGTAGCAACCTGATCGTCGCTCGCGTTAACAGTAGCGCCTGGGCTGTTGGGGAATTGAGGGAGGCTGCTGAATGGCTACACGTTTTCAACGGAGATGATAGGCAGCGTGGTGCCATTATAGTCAATCATATAAGGATCCACCGGAACGAAACTGATAGTGGGAGCACACAGTCAGAAATTGGTACATCGTGGAACGGTATATGTTCATAGTAATAAAATGAAATAGGCAAGTGAATAACTGGGTAACAACCCAAACGGGATTACAGAGACCTTCACGCAGATGAATAAGTTGAAATGGCAATGGGCTGGACATGTTGCACGAATAACGGACAACGGTTAGACCAAAGATATATGAGACTGGGTTAGAAGTATGAAGACAGAAAAGGCTCAGGAAACTGAATACAGAACGAGAGTAGGATGAACTGAACCTTCAGTCAAGGTGAATAAGAATCGCAGAAGACAAATGCTATGTTATGACGAAATTTTGTCGAGGTGTTCATCTCGCAATGTGTTTTAAAGGGTTGATGAAGATGACAGTTTAACAAACACTGAACCATGCCATGAGGATCGGTGCCTTTTTAACAATGGATAAGCATACAAAGTGACCAAGTGAATGTCGGAAGTGAATAATTCATTCTTCATTTCATGTACAAATAGGCCAATCAACTTTGTGAACAATGTTTCGTTGTTTATGGTTGCACTGGACTGCGATCTTTGGCGAACACTATATAGTACTGTAGGCATATCGAAGAGACGATGAAGCATCTTCGCCCGAGGCTCAGGTCCCCGTTCGCGTTAAAAAGCCACTCTGCTTACAACCAGTGAATTAGTAGAATATTTTTTTATGTCAAATGACTCTGAATCAACAAACACTTTCGAAGAAAAAGCAAAAAATGAACTAGCGACATTCAACATAGCTGATGATTACCTTTCGGCAATGTTGAGTGCTTGCGACTGCATGGCGGCATTGGCTAGCTGCTTCCACAACGGTTCTGTTTCAGAATTCAAACCCAAAGATTCAAGATAGTTCACCGCCCTGAAAACCAATGGTTGAGAGGAAACATGAATTCTATCCAAGATTTGGTAGCATCTACCGAAAGAAGTCTCCGTCCTCCATCGCCGTTGCATATTCGATCAAATTTTCGTCAAGCGTATAGTTCAGTTCACCTGAGACGTCTTTTACGACCACGTTGGTTTTTCCACCTGCTCTGAACAGCTGTACCACTGCTCCCTATACAACGAAAATGGTAGTCATAGACAAGTCAGATTCGCGCAAGGGGAATACGCACCGAGATCGGAATGATCGTCACACGTTCTCGCACTTGAATGTTATACCAGACGTAAAGATGCTCCCGGGACTCGACAACCACAACGTCACTGCCGGGAACCCACTGAAGTACAAACTGCTTCGTAAAATTTTAATGTAAAACAGAAGCATCAACTCGGATACCTGGACAAATCCACAACGATGCTGCAAAAGGTGCTTTTGGTCTGTCTTCACGTCGTACAGATGTACATCCATTTTTCTGTCCCGGAACAGAAGAAACTTGCCGGTTTCGTTCAGCTGTAAACAGGCAATGCATCTGCTTCATGACATATCACAATGTCGATCACAGTAAGCATACACTGCAAATGAGATTCGTAGCGATTCCGCTTAATATCAAGGTTATGGATAACATCTAAGGTATTTCATTGCCTATAGCTTCAACTTTCGCGGATGCCCGAGAGTAAAATTATGTGAGGAACCGGAAGCGCTTTTTTTCGGTTAAAATGCAACATCGCAAGAAAGAAGTGCAGCATATTTAGGTCTTTAAACAGAGATGAAGTTTCGAAAAGACTCTTCCACAAAAGGGTTTGGCATTGTAGCTCTGCCTTCATATATAAAATAATATCATTATCTGAGAAGGGAGTTAAGATGCGTTGGAACTGTTTTTATAATGTTCTGTGATGTTTTGGCGCACGCTCTTTAGATGAACAGTGGTGGTTACCGGACGCTTGGTACTGAAGTCATTGATTTCAATCTGTATATCTGGACAGTGACTAAGAGCAAAAACTATGTGACTGAACACATCACATTATATATCAACAGAACACTCTCTATAAGAGAGGTATGATGACTCTGTAAACTATGGGCATTGTACGAGGTCACTGACACAGCACGTAGTCTAGAGGTATCAGGTGATTCACCCGAATCTTGGGCAGATGTCATCTGTATCAATTAACTGACTTCACTCCACATGTAGCCTACCAATTCAAATTACTCTGCGCGTACAGTAGGAAACGGTTTTCAAGCTTGTAAGTTTCAATGATTTTCATTTTATTTAATGACTAAATCATGGGACTGAGCGAGGTCACCAAATCAGCAAGCAGCGATTGAGTTAACACTAAGTCACGTAATTCAGGTTAAAATATATATAATTAGCAAAAGGGCTTTGTATTAATCGCATGATTTGATCCCTCACATTGCATATTAATCGAAGGCTGTCTCTACGCAGAATACAAGTGTCAGACATAATTACCTGACATATCCTTCCTCATAATTAATGCACTACTAATATATGGAATCGGAGCGAAGTTAAAAGTAGCACAGTCTGCTAATGCGCCCTTCCAAATTAGAAAATTGACAGATCCGGTGTAACGGAACTTGCAGCTTGCACGGATCAACCTCACCGTAACCACGAAGTTTACTGTTTTAAGAAAACAGCACCGAAATGGATTTGCGGCAAATCTTGACATACTCAAGACTGGAGAGGCAAAAATGAGGCACGACAGCGATGTGGCCAGGAAGAAACGACCTTAATGATCGAAGTTGATTTGCCAACGGCGAACGACAATCATGGAACGATAGGCACCTAACATCTAGCTTGCCAACTGCCACACAACCATGAAAAAACCGTCCAGTTCTGAAGAACCGCTGACACATGACAGTGACAAATGCTACTAAAGAAGCTATCTCTGTGTAACGATACAACTGACAAAGAAGTATGTATTTACGTGTATTTACTGAAATAACCGTTTGGTTATGGGACTACAGGTTATTAAAAGACAATGTAGTCGAGTTGGTCAATCAGGTAATCTATAACAATGGGTCAATCATTCGTCCATAATCTAATAAACCAGTTGCATTGCGCTGTTATTTCATACTATGTTTTCCTAAAAAATAACAAAAGAACAAAATACTAAAGTACAGCCAATTACTTCGAGCCAATCGATTTTAGACTCATGGTTAAATTCGACCACTTGGCTCCTGTTTAATATGTCCACTAAAAATGGCAATTGGAAAACACGTTTTAAAAAAATTCACCTATACCAATCTGAACTGTTCTCAGATCGACGACATACGCCATTTGCTTGACTTCTCCGATCGTTCTCCCCGTGCGCTGGTTAATTCTGACACTAAAATGCAGGTTAGCAAACAGTTAGTTAAAATGTTCTCAACGGCTTCATTAGAGACTTCAAATGTCATGACACTACTTAGCTGGCTGGTAGCAGAGTGGCATCAAATTCACATTCCTCGAAAATGACTAAGTTATTTCTTGGTAGTTTACTGGAATTGTAGCATTTGTTAATTTGCACCATTAATGTGACAGTGTAAAACAGATAGAAGTCATTACACCGGGTTATACCACACATTGCATCGTCTCCTCACCTCTAGTCGTCTTGAGGGAAAATTTGGACATGTCACGGGTCCATGATGTCTGAGCGCTCCTAGTGCTCAGTCACTAAATTAGAACACGAAAATTTGTAGATGTGGCTAGAGCAAAACAAACGCTGTCAGAATGTAATGCTTACTAACGTGGAATCATCGTAAATCACAGATTTCAATTTAGACTTAAAAATTCTGTCTATCCATTCTGAAGAATGCACTACCTTTGGTCATGTTTAAAATTTGACTTCCGCGCAAGCTACTTGCAACATATGTAGTAGTATCATATCTGCTCATGTGCATCACTTTCTCGGAGCAACATCTGGCATCTCTGACACATACTCATTGTCTTAGTCGTACCGTTAACTGGGTTCTAAAAGCTTAGGCGAAGCCTTGAACAACTAACAGTTCAGTCACGAAATATCACCTGCAGTGCGCGCATGCGAATTCCAACAAGACCTCTAAGAACGTCAAAAAAAACAACTTAAAGGCTAATGCAAATAAAAAATCGCAATCAGGGCTACAGCTTGTGCTGAATATTACACTAGATAGTCGGCTGTCAAGAGGGTCAAGGTAAGGTGAAGCCACAAGGGGCTCCCGGATCAGAGAACACAGCAGCACAACTCGTCTGGCATGATTAGATCATACCATGCCATTCGTATTAGTCGCTAGTCACGGATTTACTACTTGTCTCGTGAATGATTGCGCCTAAACAACGTGGGTTAAATTTATAGCCAAGCAAATTCGCAATTAGATAAAAGGTTCCTGTTGAGCGGATTCAAACCCAGCAGCTTCTGAGTTCAAAGTCGACTGCCTAGGCATTTTATCACAACACAATCAAACATATTCTTGATATTCTGGATATGCAAACAAAGTCAATTTTTATTAATCTATGGCTTGATACCATATTAGTAATCATGAAACAAAACCCGCTGAACGAGGTCTTGTTAGTGATTGTAGAGGGGCAATTTAGACCAATCACTTTTTACCAAATTAGGTATGTGAGATGTTACTCATGCTCCCTAGAAAGGTTCACAGCCGAGTGCGACGTGATCGGCATGCATGTGAACGTATCTAAAACAAAATGGCTAATGCTTTCATGTTTTCCTGTCCGTATCTCTCTTCAGATTAACGGAAAAACAGA